ATAATGTCCTCCAGGGTCACCCATTTTGTATAATATTTCATGAGTTCCTTGTTTTTCAGTGCTGCATAATATTCCATTATGTGAATATACCACATTTTCTCTATCCATTCATTTTTGACAGGCATTTAGGTTGCTTCCATCTCTTTGCTATTGAGAACAACACAGCAACAAACATGGGTGTCTATAAATCTATTATGGTGGCAGTTTTTGTTTCTTTTAGGGTATTTTCTCAGTAATGCAATTGCTGGATCAAATGATATTTCTATTTGCAACTTTTTGAGAAAGCCATACTGCCTTCGAGAGCGGTTGTACCACTAACACTCCCATTAACAGTGAATATATGTTCCAATTTCTCCTTAACCTCTCCAGCATTTGGTACTGGTAAAGTGACAGACACATAGATCAATGGAATAGAATTGAGACCCCAGAAATCAGCTCATCAGGTCAACTGACTTTTTTTAATATAATTTTTTTTTTTACAGAGGTTTTGGATTTCCATTCATTCATTGCCGCAATTTTCTCCCTGCCTACCCCTCCCCACCAGCTCGCTTCCCCCTCTGAAGAGAGGGAAAAAAATCCTTCATTAGTATATAATTCCCACGTCCCTTAATGCTTTCAATAAAGCTTAGCTTTATTCCTTCTGCACAATTGATTCTTGTCATATGGTAACTTATGAAATGGCTGAGCATCAACCAATTATTTTTGGTACAGTGACTAGAAATTCTTTCATTCTTCCTGAGAACTTCCTAGATCACTCAATAATTTGTCCATAGAGTCCTTCACTATTGCAACTTAAGGCTTGAATTTTTCTTCCATTTTCTTATTTTGAGAAATGTTGAGTGTGTTTTTTTCCTTTTGGTTTCTTTACTCCAGATCCATGCACATTTTATTATAATACTTTGTCTTCTCAAGCCACTCTTTGAAATCTTCTGTTCAATTCTCTTATGCTTATTCTTTTACATCAGATGATGAGGATGGTACAAGATAGGGGAGGATTGAGATCAGCTTTTTGTTTTAATTTATTTTATTTTATTTTTAATAATTTTAATGAACATTTACAGAGAATTTGGATATCCATTCATTCATTGCTGCACTTCTCTACCCACCTAGACCTCTCCCCCTGCCCCCGAGATCAGCTTTTTATAGGTGACTAAAAGTGTACTCTACTCAAAGCAACAGTAACAACAAGTGCATGAGAAGAATAAGAATGCCCATGATTTCAGTGTTTCAGATGAAAGTAGCATGAGGAGGTAATTACAATGTCTGGACTGAGATTTAGGACCTATTGGAAGTGAAAGTCTTATTGAGGTTAGCAATTTGAGAGTCCCGGTTATCATGAAGGTAGCATAGGATTGGACAGTGTTAGTTCTGTTATACCTAAAGTTGTCATGAATTGGAGGAACAATAACTAGTCAAGATTTTGAGCCCTTTCAAGTGAACAGGTGATTTCCTTCAGATCACCCACATCTGATCACAGTTTTGAGAGAGGTCGGCCTCTGTCCTAGTTTCTGACCTAGGAGATTACTGATACCAGACCTGCTTTCCCATCAGAGTGTACAGCCCATAACTTTTATTTTGTTTTCGGATTTTCCTCCTACCTTTCTAGCAATTTCTGAAATGTCTTTTTTGTAGGTTTTAGTAAAAAACCTCTGTATTCCACTCAGTATAGATCTGGCTTCCGAAATCTTGCCCTTAATTTTCTCTGCTCTTGATGTTTGAAGACCTTGACTGGTGTGTGCCAGCCTCTCTCATGCCATTACACCTAAACAATGGGATTGTTTGTTGTGCACACTATAGACACTGAAGGAAGCTGTTTGGGATCAGAGATGACCTGCCTCAGGGCACTGGCTGCCCTACAGGTTGAAGAGAGAAGTTTCATCCTGTCCAGTTGCCTGTGACTCATAGCGACCCAATGTACAATAATTCTGAACTCTGCCTTATCTTTGAAAGACCTAACCCCATTTCTCCAGTCACTATGTCAATCCATCTCATTCTGGGTCTTCTTTTTCTGCACTGTCCCTCCACCCTTCTGAGCATGTTTTTCTCCAAGGACTGGTCTCTCCTGGCTATGTGCCAAAGTATGTGAAATGAAGCTTCAAAATCCTTGCCTCTAGGGAGCAGCTTGGTTACACCCTCTCCAGGACAGACCTGTTTGTTATCCTGGCAGTCCATGATATGTTCAATACTCTTTTCCAGCACCACAACTCAAAGGCATCCTTAGTCTTTGCTTACCTCTCTGATGCGTAGCAAGCAACTGCAAAGACCATGGCCTGTTATCAAGTGCACCTTAGTCTCCAGACTGAGAATTTCCTAGCAAATAGTCTTTTGATTTTCTGACTGATGATGCCAAGTGTGTTGGTGGTGGACCCAGATAAACTGAAGTTGTTAACAATATCAATCTTGTCTCCATCTATCATGATGCTGCCAATCAGCCCAGCGGTAAGAATCTTTGTTTTCTTGATGTTGAGCTTCAATCCATATTGCAGGTTACAGTCTTTGACCTTCTATAGCAAATGCCTTATGTTCTCCTCAGTTTTAACAAACAAGGTTGTGTCGTATGCATAATGGAGGTTATTGATGAGTCTTCCACCAATCCTGATGCTACATTCCTCCTCATGAATTCCACTCTTCCATGTGATCTGTTCAGCCTATAGATTAAAAAGGTATGGAGATAAGATATATCCCTGACACACACCTTTCCTGATTCTATGCATGCAGTATTTCCCTGCTCTGTTCTGACTACCGCTTCCTGGTCGAAGTTTAGGTTTCTCATGAACATAATTAAGTGTTCTGGAATTCCCATTCTCTTTAATATTAGCCACAATTACTTGTGACCCACACTGTCAAATGCCTTTGCACAGTCATTGAAACACAGATAGACATTCTTCTGATGCTCTTTACTTTTGGCCAAGATCCACCTGACATTGGCTATGATGTTCCTAGTGCCACAGCCTCTTCTCAACCCAGCTTACACATTTGGCAGTTCTCTGCTGATGTACTGTTCCAGTCATCTTTGGATAATTTTAGCAGGATCCTGCTTGCCTGTGATATCAGTGATTTTATTTTATAATTTCCACACTCTGTCAGGGCACTTTTTTTTTGAAATGGGAATAAATATGGATCTCTTCCAGTCTGTTGTCCAGGTAGTTGTCCTCTATATTTCTCAGCATAACCTGGTGAGTGCATCCATAGCAGTATCTGTTTGCTGAAATATGTCAATTGGTATTCAGTCAATTCCTGGAGCCTTGTTTTTTGACAATTCCTTCAGAGCATCTTGAACTTCCTCCTTCATCACTGTAGCCTTTTGATCATCCATCTTGGTCTTGTCTTCCTCCTCTGTCTTTTTAATGCATTTTTGCATTCTTCCTGGATGATATTCTTGATGTCCTCCAACAGCTTATGTGATTTATGCTCATTCAAAGCCTCAAACCTATTCCTGAGATTGTCTTTAAATTCTGATGACATAGACTCAAGAGCAAACTTTGGTTCTTATGAATTGGATTGTATTTTCTTTGGCTTCAGTTTGAACTTGCATGTGAGTAGTTGATGTTCTGTTCTACAATCTCTCCTAATATTTACAGCTAATACTGAGCTTCTTCAGTAATTTTTCCCACTGATGTAATCAATCTGATTCCTGTGTAGACCATGAGGTGAAGCCCATGTGTATAGTTGCTGTTTACATTTCTTACAAAAGTTATTTGGAATTAATAGGTCATTGATTGTACACAATTCTGTCATTCTATCTCCAGCCTCATTTCTGTCACTGCGTCCATGCTTTCCAACTATTGATCCTTCTTCCCTGTACCCATTTTTTGCATTCCAATCACCCTTTATTATCAAGGTATCTTGTTTGCATGCTCAATTGATTTTTTACTGCAAAAGTTGGTAGAAGTCATCTGTTTCCTCCTCTTTGGACCTGTTTGTTGGCACATATATTTGAATGGTAGTGGTATTAACAGGTCTTCCTTGTATGCTTATAGATACTATCCTGTCACTCACAACACTGTATTTCAAGTTGGCACTAGAAATGGTCTTTTTAACTGTAAACACAACCCCATTTTTCCTCACCTTTTCATTTCCAGCATAGGAGATCGTAGGATAATCAGATTCAAAATGTGCCATGCCAACCCTTTTCATTTCTCTAGTAAATGTTTTTTAAATAAAAATTAAAACAATAGGAAAGTAAAAAAAAAAAAGCAAAAAAAACCAAACCCTGTAAGAAATCTCTATAATTTTAGATCCTATGACTGTAGATCCTTATATATGGTTTATTATCATCAGCTGTAGTTTCTCTATTTTGTTTGTCTAATATTGTTGATGTTGATAAGGTCATGCCAGACAATACCCAAGGGCCTATTTCAACCACTTATACGAACAGTGAACAGCTCCGACTCTTCGCCTATGAAGCCCAAGTCAATGAGAATTTTGAAATGGCAACAACATATTATGAAGAGGTAATTTAACATTGTCTAGTGATGATTGTTACTATTGCAACATGGGTATAGGAAATAGTAGTTATTCACTATTTGAAATAAAACTTGATTGGTGAAATGGTAGATGTCTACATAAAAAACACAGATAGGATCTGTGTATAAACTCACACAAATATGATCATTTGCTTTTTGACAACATGTAAAATAAATTTTGTGATAAAAGAGTACTCTTTAAACAAATGGTGTTAGAATAATTGATGTTGGTCACCCATATGGGAAAAAATAATTAATGACAACTTAAACCTCAAATTTTATGCAAAAGTTAACTAGAAATGGGTCATAGGTCTAAATTTAAAACATAGAAATAAAATTTAGAACTAATCAGGAAAAAAATCCTTGTTACCTGTGATTAAGCAGAATTCTTAGATATAACAAGTACATTACCCATAAAAGAAAAAAAAATAAATAAATGGGACTTCATAGACATTAAAAACTTTTGCTTATTTAAAGACACTGTAGGGAGAAATAAAGTAAAGCTACAAACTAGGAAAAACATTTGTGTTTTATATATATATATATATAATTTCTTATTGTATAACATAGAGTTGGAACCATCCCATAACTGACCCCCCCGACACACACATATATAAACCAGGATGTATCATTTCAACAATAAGAATACAAACAACCTACTTAAAAATGGTAAAAAATTTGTATAGATAACTGACCAAATAATGTGTTTAGTGCCTTTGTTCTAACTCCTAGTTCTGTGTGTAGTGTTTATGGTCTTAAAAGATTGCAAGCGGGTATCTAAAGGACAGTTGGTCTCTATTAGAACAATAGAGGAAGGAGAAGAGTCGCAAAAGGATATGAAATGTTAGCTAATTGCATCCACAGATGGCCACCTTCTTTGCAATGAAACCAGAACAGAATTGTCCCCAGATGCCATTACTGAACATTTTCTAAAGATTCTGAAGAAGAGTCTGGGTGAAAGAGGGGAGCAATGCAGAACAAAATTACAAATTACAAATTCTCATTTACTCCAGGCTTCCCGGAGCCACGAAGTTTGCCTGAATAACCCCTGAAACTCTTCCCTGAAGGGATTGCCATGAGATGATTTGAAACTGTAAACCAAAAACCCCTAAAGTCAACTTAAAACCAAACCCAAAGCAGTTTAATTATTGAAAAGGTCCATTATGCGCATTAAGCTTTTTTGTTTTTAACTTTTTGTTGTGCTTTAAATACAAGTTTTTAGAGAAAAGTGGTTTTCCGTTCAGTCATTCGTGCCCATTTTTTTATGACATTAATCACAGTCCCTATATTGTAACACCACATATTCCACTTCCGTTTCTGGTGTCAACGGAGGGAAAAGACAGAGATGAGGACACACAGGAACGGAGGATAGGTCAAAAAGTGTGAAGGCAGGGGACTAACAGCTTGAAGAACTGAAGCTCCTATGCTAGGCCTTTCAGTGGTTTTGTTGAGAATCACCAGGGAGTAAATAAAGAAAAATCACCAGGAAGTAAACAACAAAAAAGGATCATGGGGAAGTAAATCACAAAGAACAAAAGACCTGAACACTTGTGTAACTTTCATCGTTTCTCCAAGTTCATAGAGTTTCCAGAGGCAAGCCATTTCAGAAGTGGATGCCACTCCTGCTTCCAAGCTTGTTTTAATTGGGAAGCTCCATGAAACACTGTCCACCATGGGTAACCATGATCACATTTGACACATCGGTGTCACAGTGTTTAGCATCATGGCAACCACGAGTTATCTCTATATAGCAAATGGACTGATGAGGACGAGTGCTATACCACTTAGAAGAAATCTCAGGAGGGAGGGATCAGTAAATACAAACTAAGAATTATGAAAACACTACAACAAGATAAATAACCCAATTGAAAAATGAGCACAGGATATGAACAGACACTTCACCAAAGAAGACATTCAGATGGCAAACAAACACATGAAGAAATGTTCAAAATCCCTAGCTCTAATAGAGATGCAAATCAAAACAGCTGTGCGATATCATCTCACCCCAGTAACAATAGCAAAATTTGACAGAACAGCAAACAACAAATGCTGGCGAGGTTGTGGAGAGACTGGAACCCTTATTCACTGTTGGTGGGAGTGTAAAATGGTGCAATCACTATGGAAGGCTGTATTGCGCTTTCTCAAAAAGTTGCAAAGAGAAATACATTTGACCCAGCAATTCCACTATTAGAAGTATACCCTAAAGAAACCAGAACTGCCACCCAAGCAGATATATGCACACCCATGCTTATTGTGGGTTTTTTCACAATAGCAAAGAGATGGACACAACCCAAGTGCCCATCAACAAACGAATGGATAGAGAAGCTCTGGTATAGTCACACAATGGAATACTATGCTGCTTTGAAAAACAAGGAACTCATCAAATATTATGCAAAATGTATGACCCTGGAGGACATTATGCTGAGTGAAAGATCTCAGTCACAAAAAGACAAATATTGCATAGTGCCACTGTTGTAAAAGGGTCTGACATTGGGGTTGAAGGAAGACAGAGAGGGAGGAGAGGAATGATGTATTATGGATTGAAACAGATGAGGGAGAAAACCGTTTAAAAGGGATATATAATTGGGTATTATTGTCATGACAGGAGTCCAGAATGAAGGCTGCACAGTAGAGTGGACTTGGGGGGATGAATTGCATAACAGTGAAAGAGTTTTTCTTTTACTTTTGAAGGAGAAGAGTGAATTGGGGGGAGGGGGTGGGCAGGGAGAAAAGTGCAACAATGAATGATTGGAAACTCTAAGTCTCTGTAAACTTTCATTAAAATTAATTTTAAAAAAGAAAAGAGGGGGGGAGAATTATTAAAACACCCAAGGTCTGCCTTGTACTTAACCTCTTGAAGCCCAAGATCTGCCTTGGTGCTACAGGGGGAATTCTAGCTTATATATACACCTCTTTCATTTCCTGATGCAGCATTTAGTTAAATATTAGTATTAAATTTGATATTTGGCTTTCTACGAAGATGGCGCCGAAAGCGAAGAAGGAAGCCCCTGCCCCTCCCAAAACTGAAGCCAAAGCAAGCAAAGGCATTGAAGGCCAAGAAGGCAGTCCTGAAGGGCGTCCACAGCCAAAAAAAAAAAGAAGATCCGCACTTCACCCACGTTCCAGCGGCCTAAGACGCTGAGACTCTGACGGCAGCCCAAATACCCCCAGAAGAGCGCTCCCAGGAGAAACAAGCTTGATCACTATGACATCATCAAATTTCCCCTGACCACTGAGTCAGCTATGAAGAAGATAGAAGATAACAACACACTTGTGTTCACTGTGGATGTCAAGGCCAATAAGCACCAAATTAAACAAGCTGTAAAGAAGCTCTATGACATTGATGTGGCTAAGGTCAACACTTTGATTAGGCCTGATGGAGAGAAGAAGGCCTATGTTCGACTTGCTTCTGATTATGATGCTTTGAATGTTGCCAACAAAATTGGGATCATCAAAACTGAGTCCAGTGGGCTAATTATAAATGTAATAAATTTTTCTCACAAAAAAAAATTGATATTTGGCCACCCACTCTTTTCTAATTCTCATTTCCATTCATCCATCTACCCTATATGTTCCTGCTTTCTAAGCTTTATCCTGGGGAATGCTGCCCTTTTGTGTGATTGAGTGTTTCACGGAGTGAGCATCTCCCAGTGTTACTGTTCACTCTGTAAGTCTGTCTGCAGTTTGGCTGAGAGTTTGCCACAGGGTGATGAACTAGTTCCTGACTTGATGGGTAGGTTGACAAAGAGCATTAATCCCAGGTTCCACCAGCCTCTATTAGTAGAGTAAGCCTGGCCATTTTTATGATTTTGAGTTTTGTTCATATTTTTTCTCCCACTATGTCCAAGACTTTGTGCTCTGATCATTTTTAGAGTGGTCAGCAGTGGGAACTAGCTGACCACTGACATCCAGCTTTCTTTCAAGAACTTCCTGAGATAAAAGTGACAACAGCAACTTGAAAAATTAGATGGAAAACTTTAGGTACCATTGAATCCACTATAACTATGAAATCTTAGGGAGGAGAGAATTTGTGTTAATGAAGGGAGGAACAGGTCAGAAAATCAAACTGATTATACAACTCTAAAATATCATTAATGTCACTAAATAGTACATGGAGAAATTGTTGTACTGGTATAAATTTTGCTGTATAAATTCAGCAACAACAACAACAAAATAAATACAATTTTATCTAAAAAAAGAATTTCAACATTTTACTCAGGATGGCAAACAACACACAAATAATCAGCTTGTCTAAATGATACAGCTGACCTTGACACTTGACCTCTACTAACTATACAAGGGCGATGAAGCTCCACCAACATAGAAACAGTAGAAAGCTGATTCCTAAAAGGTCCCATGGTGCTTCTTTTACTTCTGTCAATTTTAACACCAATTGCTCCTCCTACTGCTCTTATTTTTGTTACTGTTGTTGATATGTACTATCACAAGCCTTGCACCTTCATTAATTACTCAGACATATTACAAAAGCCAATTACAGTTTGATTCATTAATTCATAGCAATAATTGATTACAACTTATCTACATTGCAATTCATAAACTCATAACAATGTATTGATTCACTAATTCATGTTGTTGTTGTTTGTTGTTATGTGCCGTCGAGTCGCCTGCGACTCATAGCGACCCTATGTACAACAGCCCTAAACTCCGCTCTGTCCTGTGCCAGTCGCACTGTCTCTGACACTCCCATCCCAATTATCCCAGTCACTGAATCAATCCACCTCATAGAGGGCCTTCCTCTCCTGCGCCATCCCTCCACCCTCCCAAGCATGATGTCCCTCTCTAAGGACCGGTCTCTCCTCACAACATGTCCAAAGTATGTTAGACGGAGCCTCAGAATCCTTGCCTCCAAGGAGCCACCTGGTTTAACCCTTTCCAGAGCAAATCTGTTTGTTTTCCTAGCAGTCCATGGTATTCTCAATACTCTTCTCCAGCACCACAGCTCAAAGGCATCAATTCTCCTTCTATCCTCCTTAGTCATTGTCCAACTCTCTGATGCATAACAGGTGATTGCGAAGACCATGGCCTGTATCAGACACACCTTAGTCTCCAAAGAGATACCGTTGCTCTTCAGCACTTTGGAGAGGTCCCTAACAGCAGACTTTCCCATGGCAATGTGCCTTTTCATTTCCTGGCTGCTGGTGCCAAGACTGTTGACTATGGAGCCAAGCAAACTAAAGCTGTGTACAATCTCAATCTCTTCACCATCCATCCTGATGCTGCCAATTTGTCCAGTGGTGAGAATCTTTGTCTTCTTGACATTGAGCCTCAATCCATATTGGAGGCTGCAGTCCTTGACACTCTGCAGCAGGCGCTTCAGGTCCTCTTCAGTTTCAGCAAGCAGGGTTGTGTCATCCACATAATGCCGATTGTTGATAAATTGTCCGCCAATCTTGACCCCACATTTCTCCTCATACAGCCCAGCCTCCCGGATAATCTGTTCTGCATATAGGTTGAAAAGGTATGGAGATAGGATGCATCCCTGGTGTACGCCCTTCCCAATTTTGAACCATGCAGTGTTCCCTTGCTCTGTTCTGACGACTGCCTCCTGGTCCAAGTATAAGTTTCGCATTAGAACGATCAAGTGTTCTGGGATTTCCATTTATCTACATTGCAATTCATTGATTCATAGTAAGTGTCAAACACCAGTTGCAATTTATTTACATTGCAACTCATAAATTCATAACAAATATAATTTAAAGGATAATGGGGAACCTTCACCCCTGAGAGCCCATCTTGTCTCCTTCTTTGACCTCTCATGGCCACTGGTGTGGTCAGGGTCCTCGGTTAAGCAGCTCACAGCCACCAGTGCAATCAGGGTCTTCAGCTCTGAAAAGAGCCTTTGGGTCTTCAGTGTTCAGCTCATTGTCTGGCAGAAGTGAAGTTTTTGTTGAGTTCTCAGGGTATATGTACTTTTGGGTTTGGATGTTATATTGTATCCAATCAATAACATTTAGAATAACAACATTCAAACTTTGGGTTTTACCAATTATATTAAGTTTCAAAACAAGTTGTATGACCAATCACATTAGTCCTAAAGCAAAATGACTTTGACCAATCATGTTCTATACCAGTTATGTTCCCTTGGCAACATGGCCTTAACAAATCACATTCCCTTGTTAGAGGTATACACATGTTGTGGCCAGTGGGGCCTGTTTGGGCATATCAAACTGTTTAGCATATTTTTCACAAATATTTCTAACATATAAAAAAGCTAATTCCTACACATTTCTTATTTCTAATATATAACAGAAAATTCCTAACATATTTCGTATTCTTTTTTTAAATTTTTTAGGAAAATGTTTAAATTTTATTACTGTGTGTGTGTGTGTACTGTAAAATCAGATCTGGGTGGTACAGGAGGAGATTGTCCCCTCCTTCTCCAGCAGAGCATCTTGTGGATTGAACTGCATACCTCTGTGATTGCAGTGCAGCTTCTTGCCACAGGCCACCAGAGCTCCCTTATTTCATATTCTTAAACTTAAGCCAATATATTTTCACAGCAAACTTATAATACTTTCCTATATCTAAACCATTCATATAAGTTTATAATATGTTCCACAGCAAACTTAACGATGTTTTACAGCAGACATGATAATTTCTAGAATACGTTTCACAGCAAATTTATTGTGGCAGTAAATCACACAGGGGCTGGATTGTTCATCTTTCTCTCTGCAGCAGCTGGTGGGTTCACACTGAATGCTTTTGGGAAGGTAGCACAAGTCCTTACCATCAAGTGATCAGAGCCCCCGGCTCTCCTACTGGTGTTATTAGGTGCTGTTGAGTTGAGCTGACCCTGAAACCTGCTGTCCTCATCCCCTCTGACACACTAGAGCCCGTTGGTCAAGTCGGTTTGCCAATTTGTTGCCATGGCCACGCAGACAATAGACACATTTATGGGGTTTGATAGAGAAATAATAGGTTACAACTCAAGTCAGAAATACTTAAGCAATACTTAATCCTTAACCAAGTCGGAACTACTTAATACAGTTCTTCAAGCGTCGAGCCGTGGCGGCGTTGGTGTCGCCAGCAGTGCCAGCCTCTGACGGTGGGAGATGGAAGACTACTTTGGCCTCCATTTTCGGCAATGAGAAAGACAAAGTCAACTGTTCGTTTTCTTTCAAAATTGGAGCACGGCGTCATGGAGACAGACGCTCTCAGCTGCAAAATAAATCCACCGTGATCCAGACCATTGCCCTCTTGACCGTTTGCCGTAACCCTCAGCCCTCTTCCCAGTCGGTTTGCACTGTGCGGGGAGCGAGGGGGAGATGCAGGAACGCGAGGAGGACATTGCTGAGCAAATTTTCACAGAAATGGAGGAAAAGTACGGAGACATCGAAGAGATGAACGTCTGTAATAACCATCTTGGAGACCATCTAGTCGGAAATGGCTACATCAAGTTGCGGCGTGAAGAAGGCGCGGGAAAGGCTGTGATTAAATAGCCGCTGGTTTAAGGGACAACCGATTCATGCAGAGCTCTCCCCTGTGACTGTTGCTGCCAGTATGAAACGGGAGCGTGTACTCGAGGAGGCTTTTGCAACTTCATGCATTTGAAGCCCATTTCTAGAGAATTGCATCGGGAGTTGTATGGTCTCGATCCCGGGGGAGGAGGCGGAGGAGGCGATCCCGAGATCGGGAGAGATCTGGACGACTTGGAGCCATGCCATTTTCACCGTAGGTCTGCTAGAAAGTGTTGTAGTTGATTGACAAAACCAGCTCTTAATGGGGAATAAAAAAAAAAAAAAAAAAAAACCAAACCACAAAGATGGGTTTCCGAATAAAATTTGTAGTGATAGTTTAAAAAAAAAAAAAAACAAAACACTTCTTCAACCAGGATGGCTTCTTCTAAGCAGAACCAAGAGATATGTGTTGGAAAAGGTGCAGCCAGAGTGCTCCATCGATGCATGAATACTTTGGGAATGTTGGTGGAAGAAGCTTTTTCTTAGAAAGGAACATCATGCTTGGAAAGGTGGAGGGTCAACGAAAGAGAGGAAGATCCTCCAAGAGAGAGATTGACCCAGTGACTGCATATGTGGCCTCAAGTGTATCATAGATGATGAGAATGGTGCAGGACAGGACAGGATAGGATTCTTCCTAAGGTCACTGTGAGTCACATTTGACTTGATCATACCTAACAACAACATTTTCAAAAAGTTACAATATTTATGAACTGCTTAATGCATGATGTTATAGACATTAAAAGTATGACTTAATTTTATAATAACACTCTTTATGCTTTCCTGGCCTAGAGGTTGGTCCGTGAACCCCAGAAGTTGGAGCACTGGTTGGACTTTGGTGCCTTCTACCTTCTGATTGAGGACAATGTCAAAGCACAGGAGTGTTTTCGGAAAGCCCTTTCTCTCAACAAGAGACACATCTGCAGGTATGGATGGAAAGGAGATGAGGAATGAATGGGAATAGGTGCTTCTCCATAAAATTGCCTTGGTTCCATGAGTAGGGTGGAATCATGTTGGTAACAGGGGTTTTTTTTGTTGTGTTTTTTTTTTTCTCAGCCTGCTGCTCTGTGGTGTCCTGGCTGTCCTGAGGGAGAGCTATGAGGAAGCAGACATTTTTTTTGAAGATGCAACTACCTTGGAGCCAACCAACGTTGTGGCCTGGACTTTACTTGGTATAGTATTTTCCTGTTATCTGGATTATTTACTTTTGTAAGGTTCTCTTTTTCTTTTGGTTATTTAATACCTCATCATGTCATTCTTGTGCAAAGTTCAAATGGGAGAGAAACAAATGAAATGTGATTCCTTAATGTGTGATTGTAGAAAATGCTCCATATTTATTTCAGCCAACTTTCTTTCTTCAGGTTTGTACTATGAAATTAAAAACAATGATATTCGAAAGGAAATGGCATTTCATGAGGCCTTCAAACAGCTGCAAAATCGAATAATGAAGGAGAACACAGGAACTCTAGAGTTCCTTGAAGAGGGAAGGAAGACAGAACCTAGCTTCGCCCCTTGGGGGCTCACAAATGCATCCTCAGCAACAGCAATCAAGGCAGAAGCACCAGCTGGTAGGGCCACAGAGACCATGAGTGTCTATTGGGGGGCTGCTGGCCTCATAAATATTCCTCACACAACACACTGCTGAGGCCATTGTGACTCAGGGAAGCCCAGAGGCAGAATGCAACCCTGCCCAGGCCTGCACCATCCTCACAACTGGTGCTGTGTGTGAGCTCATTGTTGGAGCCCCTGTGTCCTTTCATCGTGCTGTGGGTCTTTCTCATTTTCACTGATCCTCTGCTTTATCATCCCTTCTCTACGGACTGGGACCTACTGACACTGTGTCCAAAGCCCATGAGAAGAGGTTTTACTTTCCTTTCTTGCAGAGAGCATTCTGGCTAAACTTCCAGAGCAGATTTCATCATTCTAGCTATCCTCTCTATATTTAATATACTAGCAACCTAATTCAAATACATCAGTTCATTTTGTTTCTTAATAAGTCCAACTTTTGCATGCAGATGAGGTGATTTAAAATACCAGCTAGGGGCAGGTGCACCTGAGCCCTCAAGGTGACAGTGTTGTCTTTTTATATTTAAAAAAGAGGCCTTTTGGAGCAGATTTCCCCAATGCAGAACATCACTTGATTTTTGATTGCTATTTCCACAGGTGCTGATTGTGGATCTAAGTAAAAACAAATCTTTCACTTCAGTCTTTTTTCTCATTTATCATGGTGTTTCTTATTTATCCAGTTAAGATCATTTCGGTTTTCTTTATACTGAAGTGTAAGCCATATTTATTGAAGGATGTGGTCTTTGTTCTTCATCAGTAAGTGCTCCAAGGCCTCTTCAATTTTAATAAGCCAGATTGTGTCATGTGCATAACAGGTTGTTTATAAGTCTTTGTCTAATACTAATACTACATGCATCATACACTCATCAGACTAAGCAGTCAGTGAATGCTTATAAAATGAGTGATTATGTGCAGTTTTTAGTTGTTTCAGGATTACTAGGGGGGGAAAATCTGCAATGTTAGCCTAAAAGTTGGCTTTTTTTAGCCATTCCAGTCTAGCTACCTTAACTGCAGACACATGGTCTTGCAAATCACCAACACCTGTGATGAGAGAGCAAGAGCTTCCCACACTGGATAGCAGGACTTGTGGCAGCAGGACTAGAGACGAGGAAGACTCGAGGAGACAGGAACAAGACCCTGTTGAGAGCAAGATTGGTGAGATCCTGGTGATGGTTGTGGAGAGACTGTGGCAGTGCTGTTTGAGAAACTGTGGCAAGATGTGACCTGAGGCTTATTGCATCTGTACTGTTAATAGTTTTGCTGTTCTTTCCAATGCTTAAAGGAGAAGCTGACTTTTAACTGCTCTAAGTCAAACCGTGCTGGATGGTTTGGATTTGATGGCTGAACAGAAACCAGAGCATGGATTAATTCAGGAATTATGCTTTGAGACTGTTTGGCTAAAACTTGGATTTGCATTTGGTGATATTCTTTGCCTCCCCCACTTTCCCACTTAATAGACCCTATTCTCAGTACTACAACTGTGAATCTGTGAGTAATAGCGAATAAACTAACCTCTTGCAGCTGCTGTGGCTCTAGAGGCAGGTACCATGGGCCTGGGCCGTGGGATCTTTATCTGCTTTCTGCTCTTGGGAAGTGAGGGGTTATGCTGTTCTCACTCCCTCTGGCCCTTTTAGAGATGCCTTGTGGCCCTAGGTACCATTTTCTGCTTTCTGGGCAGAATCCTTACTCCTCAATATGTCTTTATTTGTTTAGGTGGGACCTGTCATTTTCTTCTACTATTTTTAAATCTTGAAAATTTTTTGTCCCTGTGTCATTCCAGCAAATCTCTTGTCTTTTCCAGCATATATAACTATATATTAAAGTGCAACATTTCCCTTTTTTTTCTATTCTTCATTTCTACTCTCCTTCCACTTTGTTGTTCTTATGTGCCAGTAAGTCGCCTGCAACTCATATCTGCCCTATGTATGATAGCTCTGAACTCTGCCCTATCCTGAGCCAGTCTCACTGACTCCGACTCATCTACTCTCATTTCCCCAATTACTATATCAGTACATCTCATCCAGGGTCTTCCTCTCCTGGGCTGTCCCTCCACCATTCCAAAACATAATGTCCTTGTCCAAGGACTGGTTCCTCCTGTCAATGCGCCCATAGTATGTGAGACAGAGCTTCAAAACCCTTGTCTCTAAGGAGAAACTTGGTTTTGCCCTCTCCAAACAGACCTATTTGTTCTCTTGGCGATCCATGGTATGTTCAATATTCTTCTCCAACACCACAACTCAAAGGCATCAATAGTTCTCTGTCATTCTTAGTCATTGTCCACCTCTCTGATGTATAGCAAGTAATTGCGAAGACCATGACTTAGATCAGGTACGCCTTAGTTTCTAGACTGACAGTGTTGCTTCTCAGTACTCTGGAGAATTCCCTGACAGCAGATGTTTCCAGTGAAAATCTTGTTTTGATTTCCTGACTGCTGGTGCTAAGAGTGTTGTTTGTGGAGCTGAACAAGCTGTAATGTTAACAACCTATGTCTACATAATATAGATTGTTGATGAGTCTTCCTCCAATCCTGATGCCACATTATTTCTCATATATTTTCATTAGTTTTGTTTCTTGCATATGTGCATTCTTATTTCATGTATATACATTTTTAACGGCTTTACTGAGTATAATTAACATTCAGCAAGCTGTAAGTACTTAACATGCATTTTTAAAACCTTTTTATACAATTTTTATTTTATGCTGGCTTACTTAAAATGTTCATATACATTGTTTTCCAACTTTTGACATGTTTATACACCCTTAAAAACATTATTGTCATTTTCAAGATAATGAACATATCTATATCTAAATTTACTGTATTGAAAGAGTTTACACCACAGAAATCAGCAAACACCTCAAGTAAGGCTCCACACACAAACTAGAGAGCCAGTTTTTATTTTAAATTTTTTTAGTCTAAGTTTACAAAGTATAAACTTTGGATTTTTCATCCAATCATTCATACACATCTTATTTTATAACATTAATGATAATATCTATATTATATACTTAAATAATAGCTATATAATAGCTTGCCTCCGGAAACACTATGAATGTGGAGAAACGAAAGTTATATGAGTGTTCAGGTGTTTCATTCATAGAGTTGCTATGAGTTGTCTACAACTCAACAGACTTAACAACAACTTGTGGATAAAAAGTTACGCTACCAAGCCAAAGGTGGATGATTATAATCTGTGGCCCTCAGTCCTGGTTTTGTTTTTGGTCAAAAATTCTTCTAAGTGGCGTAGCACTAGTCTGTCCATTTGCTGTACAGAGGTAAATTGTGGTTGCTATGATGCTAAACACTGTGACACTGATGTGTCAAATACAATATTAGTTACCCATGGATACCCATGGTGGACAGTGTTTGGTGGAGCTTCCTGATTAAAACAAGCTTGGAAGCAGGAGTGGCATCCACTTTCAAAATATCTTGCCTCGAGAAACTATGAACTTGGAGAAACAATGAAAGTTATACAAGTGTTCAAGTTTTCTGTTCTACAACTCGACGGCACTTAACAACAACATAATAATACCTATATAATAATTATACTTTTCCCACTTCCTGGCTATAATTCTCATTTCCATAAATCCTTCTACTCTATCCTTTCCTGGTTTCAAGGCAGGGCTTTATTCTTGAGTTGATGCTGCTATTTTGACCTTATATGATTGGTTATTCTATGGAGTAAGTACCTCCCTGGTGTTATTGTTACTTTATAGGCTAATTATATCACTTTCAAGACTAAGATGCCCCAGATCCATGTCATGGTATTAACAGTTGTTTCCCATGCATCTCAAAGTTTGACAATGAATAAAGAAGACCAAAGAACAATCAATACCTTTGAATTGTTGCATTGGTGAAGAGTACTGAATATCCCATGAGTGGCAGAAGAACAACCAAATCTATCTTAGAGGAAGAGCAACTAGGGGATGTCCTAGAAACAAGGATAGTGAGACTTCATGTTATATATCTGGGCATTTTAGCAACAGGAGCCAGTCCTTGGAAAAAGACACAATGCTGAGAAAGGTCATCATAAGAGAGGACAACCTTCAATGTGATAGACACAGTGACTATATCCATGACCTTGAGTATGGTGCAGGATAAGGCAAAGTTCAAATCTGTGTTCACAGGGTTGCTGTGAGTCATAGGTGACTGAATGCCACATAAAAACAATAACATTATTTGGCTGAAAGTAAGTTTTTATTCCAGGTTCAAATGGTGGTTTAAGACCAGACTTGGAGTTTACACCAGTCTATCAAACCAAAGGGTCCATTTTCATACGTTTACCAGCTCACTGCTAGAAGATAGGAATGTTTCCAGTATTTGGAAATTAGACAATATCATTCTAAGTAACCTTTTGGTTAAAGAAGGAAATACAAAGTCATTTGAGCTGGATGATAACGAAAACACAGCATGTAGAAATTTATGAGAGGAGCTAAGTCTATGAGGAGAAATGTGGGGTCAAGATTGGTGGACGATTTATCAACAATCTGCATTATGCGGATGCCACAACCCTGCTTGCTGAAACTGAAGAGGACCTGAAGCGCCTGCTGCAGAGTGTCAAGGACTGCAGCCTCCAATATGGATTGA